ACTACGTCGCAGACCTTCGAAACCTCGGAGGCCTCTGCGAATTCTCCAACTTAGAAGAAGCCCTCCGGGACCGCCTAGTTCTGGGTTTAGAGGATTGCACAATCCAGAGCAAAATCATGGCTAAGGGGGACATCAGCCTTACCGATGCCCTTAAAGAAGCCTCGGCAGCGGAAGCAACTAAGAAGTCGGCAGCACGAATGCGCCGTACCAGCGCACCGCTACGCCAACTCGCCGATGATACCTCGCCTCGCCCAGAGAGACACCCGGTATCGACTCACCACGAAGACCTAGAATCCCCATCAGAAAGTGACGAGGAAGAGGTCAACCGACTCCGAACTGAACGAGACCAGTTCACACAATGCTCAAATCGACCTTGCGCAGGATGTGGAGCGAGTCACCCATGATCCAACTGCAAATTCCTCGACGCACTCTGCCGTGTTTGCGGAAAAAGAGGTCACATCGCAAAGGTTTGCAGAAGCAAACAAGCCTCCAACTCCAAACCCCGACAGGCCGAATGCCAGTCTTTAGGATTCCTCGGTACACACCGAGACAAACTGAACCACCAATGGGGAAACCACTCCTACAGAAACAACCCGTCCACCACTAACCCCAGGCGCGAAGAAACCAGACAGGAAGAAACCCACCAAAAAATCACCATAGGCCACGCTACATCCTTAGACGCCGGAAAAATCCGGGTGAAGGTCGCGATCGAAAACAAACCTTGTGTGATGGAGGTAGACTCAGGATCATCCCTCTCGATGGTATCTTGGAAGACGCTCCAGCAGCTTATTCCAACAATTCGCCGCCAAGACCTCAACCCTCAAAGGGTTATACTCAAAGATTACCAGGGTAATCGAATTCCCATCGTCGGGTCCCGTCAATTCCAGGTCTCTTTCAAGGACCGCACCGTCGCATTGCCACTGACTGTTGTCGACTGTGATCGGCCTAGCCTTTTAGCCCTACAATGGTTCGAGCCGCTCGGGATCACCGTAGCCGGAATTCACCGGGCCGAGAGCAATGATTGGAAGGAGGCCCTCGTGCAAGAATTCCGAGACGTCTTCGCGAGCGGACTAGGCAAGTACAAGGGGACCCCGATATCATTTAATTTGAACCCTGAGGTAGCACCCATCCGCCTTAAGCCGCGTCGGGTTCCGTTCGCCCTGAAACCTAAAATCGACGAGCAACTCGATAAACTAATAGCACAGGGCGTGCTGGAACCCACCGACCACGCCCGGTGGGAAACTCCAATAGTTACGCCTATCAAGCCTGATGGGTCACTGAGAATTTGCGGAGACTACCGGGCCACCTTTAACCACGCACTTCAGCAAAGTGCATATCCAGTGCCAGTAGTGCAGCACCTGCTCCATTCCTTGGGGGGCGGAAAAATTTTCGCTAAATTAGATCTAGCGCAGGCATATCAGCAACTGCCTGTAGACCCTGCCACCGCCGAAGCGCAAACTATCGTCACCCATAGGGGTGCGTTTAAATGCAACCGACTCCAGTTCGGGGTGAGCGTCGCTCCTGGGATCTTTCAGAGCTTAATGGAGAGACTGTTGCAAGGAATAAGAGGGGTCGTACCGTATTTCGACGATGTACTCATCGCTGCCCCTAACAGAGCCATTCTAGAAAAACGACTCCGAATGGTCTTACAAAGGTTCCAAGACGCCGGCCTCAAAGTCAAAAGAAATAAATGCCACTGATGCACGGAAAGGGTAGAGTTTCTGGGATACCTCCTGGACAGCCAAGGGATCCATCCCACTGAGGACAAATTGAAGGCAATTAAGAGGGCCCCCACTCCAAGAAACAAGGCAGACCTTCAGGCGTTCCTTGGATTTATCAATTTCTATAACGTATTTCTACCAAATAAAGCAACGGTAGCTGAACCACTGCATAGACTTTTAGACAAAAAAGCAACGTGGGTTTGGGGTCAACGGGAACAAAACGCCTTCCAGCAAGTTAAAAAACTGCTAACTTCTGATTCTGTACTTATGCAGTACAACGAAACTCTGCCATTGACTATTACTTGCGACGCCTCGCCGTTTGGCGTTGGAGCAATCCTGGCCCACGTATTGCCAAACGGAGCAGAAGCTCCCGTCGCATTTTTCTCACAAACTCTAGCTAAAGCTGAAAGGAATTATAGTCAGCTGGATAAAGAAGCTTTAGCTATTGTGGCTGCAGTTAAAAGATTCCATGAATATGTGTATGGGCGTGCATTTACCATAATTACTGATCATAAACCACTATTGGGGATTATTGCGGGAAATAAACCAACCCCGTATATATTGTCCCCCAGAATGACTCGTTGGTCTGAATTCTTGGCGGCGTACAACTACACCTTGCAACACCGCTCAGGAAAAGCAATTCTCCCCGCTGATGCATTGAGCAGAGCACCACTCCCAGAATCGGTTGAAGATCCAGCACCAACCATTACAACGCTACAAATTGAGGCCCTGCACGCGCCACCATTGACTGCGAGGGACATTGCCCTCGAAACAAAACGAGATCCGGTCCTGCAACACATCCTACGCTGGGTTGAGTGTGGGTGGCCAACAGAACAACTATCACCAGAATGGGCGCCCTTTAAAGCCCGCCAAACTGAACTATTTTCCCAAAAGGGCTGCATCTTGTGGGGAGATAGAGTTATAATTCCGAACAAACTGCAACGAACTGTGTTAGCGGTATTACACGATGGACATCCGGGCATAGTGCGGATGAAAGCACTCGCACGAAGCTATGCCTGGTGGCCGGGAATCGACAAGAAAATCGAGGCCTGGGTCGCTACTTGTCAACGTTGCCAAGACGTCAGAAATGCCCCACCTAAAGCAAGCCCAACCGAATGGGAAACCCCAAGGGGACCGTGGTCCCGTATTCACATTGACTTTGCGGGGCCTACAAGGGGACACACCTTCCTTATTACAGTCGACGCCTACTCGAATTGGCTCGAGATCCATCGGATGAATACAACTACAACGGACTCAGTTATCAGCAGATTAAATAGACTATTTGCCACACATGGGTTCCCGGACGTTTTGGTCTCGGACAACGGCCCACAGTTCACTGCATTACACTTTGAACAGTATCTTGCTGATCGGGGCATCCGCCATGCGCTGACCTCGCCTGTGCACCCTGCGGCAAACGGACGTGCAGAACGCATGGTACAGTTTGTAAAAAAAACCCTCCACAAAATGGAATTCGGCGACATCGATGAAAAAATCAATCAAATTTTATTGTTGCAGCATATTACGCCCCACAGCGTCACCAACAAAATGGCCGCCGAACTTCTCATGGGGCGGAAACTACGATCACACCTTGACCGGCTCCACCCCGCATACACACCCGAAAAGCCTTTTGGCTCCAGCAGCAAATGCTGGGAATTTAAGGTAGGCGATTTAATCTTTGCAAAAAACTTTTCCGGCAACCCTTTGTGGATACCCGCAACCGTCACCCACCTCACAGGGCCCAGATCTTACCGCCTACTAACAGAAGATGGGAGGGTGTGGAAACGCCACATAGACCACCTCCATTCGAGATTGCCACCCAGCGGCCATGGATCCCCGGGTTCCCAAACTGAGGGGGGAGGAAATATCGAGGAAATTGACTTCGATATGACGGATTGCAGGCCAACGGATACCTTTCGGCCCAGGGAAGGACCGGCAAATGAAACGGGGAGGGAGTTGATTTCTCCTGGGGACTTGAACTTGGGGGAATCCGAACTGCAAAACCCCGAAGAACCATTAGTTAGTAGAAACAACCTCAACGAAAGCAGCACGGAAGCACCGTGCAGCGAAATGGAACAAAATAGAGACTATCCAAACGCTCCACCAGAACCGGACTTTGGGCAAAACCCGGTGGAGCCACGGAAATCATCTAGACAGACCAAACGGCCTGTCTACCTTGAGGATTTTGTTACAGCTCCCCTCAAACGGAGCCCAAGGAGGAGGGGTGTTATGAATCAATAAAGTAACTAGCATAAAATGCAAAGTAGGGTTTGAAGGCCTGCACACCTGATTGGTCCTCAAACAACGAACAGGGATTGGTCAGGATGAGGCCACTCCTTATTGGTTATTATTTGAACTTATCACAAAGGTTATTGGTTAATAGGGTAGCAGCCAACCCTATAAAAGGGTTACTGCTGCCCATAGAGTTTGCTCTGTTCTATTCCTATTCCTGTTATTATTAAAGAGTTGAAGTCACTGGTCAGATGCCTGGTCTCCTTATTCTTCAAACATAACATATATATATATATATATATATATTTGTTTGTTTTCTTCAGTTTTCACAGGTATTTATATGTATGGTATTCATCTTTGTTCGGGTATATATATATATATATATATAATTTTCATAAATATTTACAATATTTACGTACAAGCCACACCCACCCAGTGGGTGACCATCAAGTCACCCCCCAGTCAGCAAGCCACACCCACCCAGTCACATGACCACCAAGCCACACCCACAAATTAGGCCACACCCACAGAACCGGTTGTTAATAACTTTGAATCCCACCCCTGGCTGAGCCCCAAATTCATGCTATTTTAAACTGTGCCGGATAAGCTTATCTATTTAGACAGAATAAGAAAAAAAAAATCCTGGAGGATATTTATGAAAAACTAGTCTGCAAGCAGAGGAAAAGCCAGATACCTGATAGAACCATGAACCAGACTTTCCAGACATAGTTGGTCCAAGCAAAATGCAAAATGTGAATTTCTATTTTAGCTCTTCAGTAACTGTATTGAGACTATTGGGATTTAAACATGGCCGTCTGTAAAAAAAAAACCACCCAGAATATAAGTATTAACATAATAAATAATAACACTACTTTGTTCATTAACAGTACTCTTTATTTAATGCTTCTTGTTGAGTTGTGTAAATAAGTACAGAAATGTATATATTTTAAAATTGTGGTAAGTACAAAACGCTAGTGCAAGCTATCTATGTCAGCAGAAAATGTACTTCAGTTTTAAATTATACTATAAATATTTTTAGTGTTCATCTTTTCAATTGCTGTTGATTAGCTCTTGGATGCTGATGGCTTTCTTGTAATCAGCAATTGCTTCTTTAATTAATCCCATTTTTCCACGAATATCTGCTCTGAGCTTATACAGCAAGGCATCATAAGGTTGAATTGAAAGTGCTGTAAAAGGTAACATTTTATTAGGTGATTTCTCAAGAAAATAATAATTATATGCTAACATTTCTACTCAAAATACTGCAGACATTTCAACTTTGGAATTCTTTAATCAATGGGAAATATAATTGACTCAATCCAGTAAGATGTGAATTCCAGTGACTAAAAGTTTAAGCAAGAGGCCTATAGCATTAGCTCTAAAAAAGTATGTTTGGATTTTGTAAATCTCTAAGCAGAGACGGTGAAAAGTGGTGGGGCAAGACAATAAATCATCCCATGTGCTCTGATCTATAAAGACCTGCACACTGCAATTGGTTGTAGGATGCAAGGATTTCCCATGCTGAACAGATGGCTCCTGCTGAAAGCTTGAGCAGCACTGATGATCCATTTGTCAAAATGATGAAGGAGACCCTCGTACGAGCATAATTCACCCTTCACTCCCACCAGCCCCAACAAGTGATTCATTATGTTGAACCATCTCATTCTGGGGCCTTGCAGTACCTGTTTTAAGTGATGAGTATGTCAGGAGATGTATATATTTCAGTTATTAGTACCTTTTGAAATGTCTTCCTCGGCTTGCTCATATTGCTGTAACATGCTGTAGAGATTTGCCTTGTTAAAATATATTGCTGCCGACAAGGGGGACAAGGAAATTGCCTTCTCAAAATCTGTTTTTGCTTCTTCAAAATTTCTTAAGAGCGTATTTGTAATAGCTCGATTCAGGAAAGCAGATTCATTTTGGGGGTCAAGTTCTATGGCTTTGGTATAATAGTCATTTGCCTATAAAATTAAATAAAATGTTTTATTTATTAGTGTTGATTTGTCAAAACAGTAATACCTTGGATAAGATATAAGTAGGATACTATAATGTTAACTTGATCTTCAAGAAATCTATAATAGTACTGTAAACCAGTATTGTTAGCTGTTTTTCCCACCAATTATACCATTTGTTCACTCATTTCTTCTGGAGAATTCGGATAAATGACTGTTGCGCCTGCACATTTTTTGGTTTCTGTTTTTAAATACATTAATTTCTACTGTAATTGAATTGTAGATGTAGAAAAACTACATTGCTGTAAACAAACCATAGTATTATAATTTCAACTCTTCAAAAGAATTTTGAGGCCTATGAACAGGAATGGGGAGTTTTTGTCCAATGGAGGCTATCAATAAAGGAGAATAGTTGTAGCTCAGGGTTGAGATGAGGGGTTCTTGGTGCTCTCAGAGCTTGGTTGTTTTCTTGCATATGGAGTTTGCTTTCAATTTATATTTTATATTTTAAAGGTTTGCCCTGTCAGTGTTGATGAGAGAGGTCTTGGAGGTTCTTTGGTTGGGCTGTTTATTGTTAACAGCAAACTGTTAGCAGGAACCGTTGAGAGTTCTTTGATTGGGGTACAGGTTGACAACCTTGTTTTCTATACTGACATGGAGAGTTGTTTTCATTGTTTGAGGCAGATGTTTCCAAGAATGATGTCAAGATTAAGGAAGGCATTTTTGTTGGTCCAAATATCAGATACATCGTCAATGACAAGGGGTTTGAAGATCTGTTAGTGTCAGAAAAAATCATCTGGAAAGCATTCAAGGTTATCATTGAGAATTTTCTTGGCAACTACAGAGCTGCAAACTACAGTCAGCTGGTTGAGAGTTCTTATAACATATAAGATCATGAAGTGCAATACACCACTGAAAATTCATTTTCTGCATTCATATAAAAATGCATGGACAACTAAATTGGTATTATATTAGTATTGCACTGAACTACCAATGTCTAAGCAAATGAAGTGTATGTGCATTACTGGCAAAGGAAGCAATATAGAAAGAATAGTCAAAAAGCTAATCTGTGTATAACCGGCTCATAGGTAACAAGCTAGTTCTCTCATCTCCCCTTTCACTACAGAAATATTAAATAGAGCAGTCTTATAGTATGTCAATGTTAGTACATAGCCCTATGATCAGTTGCCATTTTTAAATTGAAATATTGTATATACTCTTATTTATGTACCAAATTTATATAGCTGCACAAAAAGTTATTTTATGGCATAAAACAATTAATAGATAAATACATATGTTAAAATAGTTATTAATAAAAATACAAAACAATCATTATTAAAATATTTAAAAGGCACACAAGAGAGTGAATATTAACTACAGTGATGCAGATATCTAAGAATGTTACCAGTCTTCTGGGACCCGCTAGACATGATGGCATAGCCAGGTCTTGAGGGGCTCCCAGAATATTAACAGGGATAAAGCTAATGGTTGCCACATTTCAGAGGGGAGGATTTCCAAAAGGCAGGTGCCACACAGCAAATAAGGCCCGCCTCATGGGACTCGCCAAGTGTAATTCCCTAACAGAAGGCAGCATGCCTTTTCTGCTAGATCTAAATAGAAGGGAAGATGTAATCTGGAAGATGTGGTCCCTCAGATACCTTTAATCATTTTGAAACCATAGTTAGTTTAGCGATCATTGGACATTTTAATATATTGTAATAATTGTTTTTAATGAATCATCCAGTTCTCAATGTGTAATGTTACTTAATAAACACTAAACAATTATTAGGGTTGTTTGCATATTTAGCCAGATGTTTAGTCTGGATTTTGCATTCCCCCCCAATTGAGTCCTTCCCAAGGACCTGAAATAGATAGATGTTGTTTAATAATCTTAAAAATATCATTGCAAGATGTAAGCGATTACAAATATAAAGCTGCTGTGATGACCCGGGGCGTGACACAAAAATAACTAAGTCATCAAAGTAGAATAAATTCCCTTTAATGCCTCCAACTTGGCCCCAATGTCCAATTATCCTCGGCTGGATAACAAACTCTTCAAAAAAACAGTCTACAAAGGGCAGAAATGCAGTCCAAACCCAAAGTAAAGATAATTAGAAATTTAAAAAAACAACACAAACCATACTAAAGTAATTAACACCACAGTCCAGAATGATAAATTGCAGACTTTCAAAGGATAATGCAGCAGTTGGGAGGATGCCAAAATCCAGATAAGGCTCGACCAAAATAATGCACGCTTTGCTTCCAGCAAGAAGTTGTGTGCAAACGCCCCACTTATATCCTGTTCTCCCAGCTGCAACTAATGAAATGGATCAGGGCCTTTTTCTCTCTCGTAAGCCACGTTGCTCCCTTCTCCATTCCGCTCTGTGTGCCCTAGGATGAAGAGGTCTTGGGTCTTCCTCTGAATGGCCAGCTGGACTGTGCCCTTCTCCTGTTTTTTCCACAGTCACCAGAGCCACACTCCCACTCCCTGTCAGCTGCTCAATCTCCCCCTCAGAATCAGACTCCAACAAGGGCATGACAGCTGCCTTCTGCTATTATTAACCTTAAAAACTAGAACAAAAAAAAACTAAAAGTGAAAAAATATTAGGCGAAGAGATGTTAATAATAGTGGAACTACCTCAATAGTTCACCAGTTCTCTGGAGTCCTCAGGCCTTATGGCACAACTGTCATTTTAAGCAGAATGTGAAGAAGGTGTATTTTAAATTTATTATACTTGACAAGCAACAACTTGTTTGGAACATGTGCAAAAGTAAACTAGCATTCTCTTTAAAATCCACGGAACTACTGTGCAAAAAAGACAGACCTGTCAAACCTTTTCAGGATTATCTATAATGACTCAACTGTCAGAAATTAAATTCATTATTACCCTCCTGAGATTTCTGCAAATTACACATTCAAAATGTCGACCTCTTTGATAGTTTTTCAACATTTGAAAAATCTTACTGCCTGTTAATCTAAATACAACAATTATCAGTCCCTGGTGTGATATAGACTGAGATAGATCTTAATTTCCTCTGACTGCCCTTTTCTCTAAAAGTAAACTTAAGTTGCAAAAGTAGGCTATGAGTCATTTGCCACTTTACAAAGAGTAAAGAACTAATACAAACAATTAATTGTACTGGATATATTTTTTTAAAGGTCAAAGTTCAGGGGGGAGAAAAAAATTCGATAACAGTTAAATTTCCTTGAATTGCCTAGTCTAGGATTATATATTTTCAAGGAATTATTTTCATTTCATTTACTTACTGAAGATTATTAATAGCTATGTTGACATTCAAGATTGTCAATTCAGCTATTTATTATGTAGCATATATTTGAACTTCGTATTATTATTCACTAATATTTAATAAGACAAAAATGAGCAATTTGTAGTTATAATTTTAAAAAACTTCCTCAAAGGAGATTTAGAAAAAAAACAATACCATACCAGCACAAAACCAAATACAAACCTGTGAGAACTGCTTGTTTAAAAAGTAGACATTTGCTGCATTGAAATAGGCTAAAGCATAGCTGGGATCTTTGGTGATAGCCTGCTGATAGTCATGCATAGCACAGTTTAAATAGCCCATGAACTGATTAATCACACCTCGGTTTGTAAGTAATTCTGCATTAGTGGTTATCTGAAATGCAGACAAATCAGGTTTTAGATTAAAATGCATAAAGGATTATAAAATACAATATACGTATAAAGTATATCTTAAACTGCTAGCTGGTTTTAAGCTATGGCCCCAAATATTTCTGCCCAGGGATGATCTATTGCAGAATATTGTTCTCCCTTCTCCCATATCATTTTTTGTACATGATAATGAATTTAAAACAGCAGTTAAGCTGGATTTTTATTCCCATGAGCATGAGAGGAAGGCATTGGTTAGAAACTAAATAAAACAATGTGGGTTTTATGGGATGCTTGAATATCTCTTTCCTAATGGGGTAATAGTGCATGAGAGAGGTGTAAAACATGTTTCAGGGGGTGCTATATTTAAACTTTTTTTTTAAAAAAGTTTCCATCACTGGAAGCATATCTGTCAAACTTTATTTATTAGATTTATGTAACTGCCCATCTCACACAATATGACTCTGGGCACATACAAACTTATTAACAATTAAAATAAAACATATATAAATAAAAAATATTTACAAAAACAATAATTTTGGAGAAAAATGAACATTTGATGTCATACAGCCATCTTGTAGGCTTACCAGAGGATCCCCAAGGTTGATAAAGAAGCCAGGTTTAAAGATCTCCCAGAAGGCTGATTAAGATGAGGCCAACTTCATTCAGGCCAGAATTCCTCATGCTAACTGGGAATTGAAGTCCATACATCTTAAAGTTGCCAAGTTTGAAAAACCCAGCTCTAAAACAGCAAAGGTTTGGGGACAGGGAGAAGCACCTATTCCTGTCTCTCTCTTTTACATGCCTGTATTTTCTGAATACCTGAAAAGGTCTTGTGAATGAGAATAACCCATCTTTCTTTTCTTTTCTTTCTTTCTTCTTCTCTTTTCTTTCGTTCATTTGTGTATGTATTGTTGATTGGTTTTAATTGTAAAAACTAATAAATCATATTTGAAAAAAAAAGAGAATAACCCAAACTCTGAGAAAAGGCATTAATTAAAAAGGGCAGAAAATCTTTAGTCCTGCTCAGTTACAAACAAAACTATTTACCTTTAGTGCAGCATTTGTATCTTGAAAAGCGGCAAATATGTCCCCCATCTGCAGACAGACTATAGCACGTCCATCGTAAGCATTGTGACAACTAGGATCACAATGAATGGCTGCTGAAAACTGAGTCCACGCTTTCTGAAATTTTCCAAGAGCCTGAAGTAATGTAACAAAAACATTAATAAATAAGGAAAATATAGAAGATTGAAGATATTATTGGAATGTTCTTAGAAAAGCTGAAGGTTATTACTGAAGGAAGATCAAAATACAAAGTACTTGTTCCTTTGGTAATTGAGAGTCAAACTCAACTCAGTGGTATCTAAATAATCATGAATAAATTGGGTATGTTATGGTATACATCATATATTTGAAGATTTGACTAGGCTTGGGTAATAGAGACCTGGCAGAGTGAAGTACAAAGGTTATATGGGACTAGCTACTTTCAACTAGGTACATTTCAATAGAGTTAGGCTGAGAAAGTGAGGAGAAATTGTGCAAATTTCAATTCTGTGACAAGGAATAGACTGAAGATTCTGTGTCCCCATTACTGCGGGCTGGATTAGTAGCAACATCTAATTTTTATAAGGGTCATGATCTGTTGGATAGTCTGCTAAAAAGGCAATTGGATTTATTTGGATTCCAAATGTCCTTTGAAGGGTTTTGGTCAATCTAATCAACTCTGTGGATGCTCTGGTTAATAGCTGGTATGATGAACTTACTAGGGGAAGTCATATCATAATTCGCAAATGTCCTCTCTGATCTGCTTCAAATATGGCCCCTGATATATTGATTAATTGTGGAAGGTGAACCTGCAAAAGGTAGTTATAGAACAGATGGCAGGAAGATTTAACTCAAACCCAGAAAAAAGATACAAAGCCCACTTGATGGATTAGGACTGATTACTCGGCTATATGCCATCAAGTCATCTTTGATTCCTAGTGATCACAATTCTCCATTATGATCTATCCTTTTGATGGTTTATACTATGAATATATATGTAGAAAAAACTAGGTTTTTTTCTACATGTATTGCTTTTGCAGCTTGCTGAGTTGCTTCAAATTGAAGTATGTGTATGATTTTCACTGCTCTTACCATTCTGCTAGAGAACTTTGGGGAATTGTACTGTTATAATTCAGATTTTTTGCAAATATTTTGTTATTCTTTTATAGGGATAAGCTACTTGGAATGATAGGTTCCACTACATGTCCTCTTGATTTTTACCCAACTTGCTTATAGGTTTTAGTTTTCTACAGATAAAAGACAATTCTAAAGGAAGGCGAAAGACCTTCCTGTTTAAAAGAGGCAATTAGAAATAACTCTTTTAAAGAAGCCTGAATTATATCACTCAAAGGGCAACTTGGGCCAAATTAATCTTTCAGCATTGGCTGAAGGGATCAAAATGGTGTAGGCTCTCAGTTGTGGGTAGTTCTCATGAAAGCAAATATTTTGGCCCATTTCAAACTGTTTAAAGCAGACTATGAGATTGAGACTGATTTTGCTGGTCTAATGGGTGATTTTTAGAAACTCACAGAAAGCATATCATTCTGTTAGTTGCTGTTAATTTATTAGTGGTTTTCAATCATGATATATTTATGGATCACCTAGAAGAATTGGGAATAGGCGGCACTTTTTTGCAATTTTTCCACTCTATCTATAAACTAAATTCTGAATGATATTGCTTGAAGACTGTTACTCCTTGAAATAGGACTATTATATGGCATGCCTCTATATTCCATTCTACTGCTAATGTTTGGAGAAGCTTTGAAACTGAGTACTACTAATATGCTGATGCCATACAAATATTTCTTAGTAACATCTTCAGGTAATAATCTGGTTTCTTTCAGTCTTAAATCAAAAAGCCAATATATCGTTCAACTTCTTCCTTCTCCAGAGTTTTCTATATATGAAACATAACCAATTGTAACAATTTCAGAAGCAATAGAAAACTAATTAAATTGGCACTGTTTTTTGAAATGTTGCAAAGTGTTTTGCTGTCACCTGTTTCAATTCACTACACTGAAGTGGGTCTTCACTTGAATATGCAAATTGTATTAATAGAGTTATTCAATCAAAACTTTTTTTTAATGAAGCATGCCCTCCAAGGATTTGCATTGCTTTAACTTTGTATTAAGTGTAAAGGATTTGTGCCTGCTTGGGCATCTTCATTAACAGGGCTTAATCCTTGTATTGTTATGCTCCATTGAGTCATAGCTGACTCCTGGTGACTCTTCGGATAAAAGCTCTCCAAGCTGCCTTGCCTTTTGCCACATTGTGCAATTCTTGCAGGTGCCATTTCTGTGATTCCAGTACCTCATCTCATCTGCTATCAGCCTGTTATTCTACTTTCATCTATCTTGCCCAGCATGATTATTGTTTCCATCAGCCTTTCATATGTATCCAAAGTATAGAAGAGTTTGCTTCATGATCTTTATTTCTAAAGAATATTTTAGCTTCATTTCTTCTTACTGAATAGTTCATTTTCTTGGTTGTCCAAGGAATGTGATACACCTTCCTTCAAATCTATAGCGCAAATAAGTCAATTTTCTTCTTTATGTCTGTGTGCAGAGTCCATTCCTTACATCCATATATCATAACAGAGAATACGCTGAGATTACCTTTCTAAATTTGTTTTACTTGAAACATCTGGGTTTTCCATCAGCTTGCCCAGACCTCTCAATGCCTTTTTGCCCTTTGTTAGTCTTCTCTAAATCACTTTTGCACACTTGCCATTTTTATCGGTTCTGGAGCTTAGAAAACTGTAATTTCAACTGCTTTTGTCACCTCAGTTTAACTCTCAGTATTGTATAAATATGATCTAATTGGATTAAAGTGTACTAAGTACTACAGTAATTCAAAATGTTATGGAGAGAGAATCGCAATTATGCAAAATGTAATAGCAATATAGCAAAATTATCTGAATGGGAAAGGAAACTATTGGTCTGTCCGTTAATATAAAGTGTGCAATTGGTGAGTTGCAGTTACCCATCCCTACCCTGTAATAATGTCCCACAGCTTTACAAAGTTTGCCTGCTTTTTCCTCCTCATTTGCTTTACCCAATCAGCAGAAGAAATGTCTTTTGAAAGCCAGGGAAGAAACGAAGAGGCTAAGAGACCTCATTTAGTGATTGCAATTGAGACAGCCAACTCCATTGCTAAGTGACATGGTCAATAAATGAAACATCATGGGACTGCAATGAACTTACATCATTTCCCAAATGGTTGTTAAGGAAGACATTATATGACCACAACACTGAAATTTTAATGCCAGTTTCTCCACTGAGTCTGCTTATCAGAAGTCAGCTGTGAACTGCACAAATGGCAATCACAAGACAATCACAAGGATTCTGTGACAATTGTAAATGCCCACTGGTTGCAAAGTGCCTGAATCACATATTTGTGATTTGAGATCACATATCTGTGGGGATGTATCATGGTCATCAGTGAGAGAAATAGTTATACAATTACTTTTTCAGTATCATTGTACCTTTAACAGTCGCTAAATGGCATTTTTAAGCAAAGTTTCCCTGTATGTGAGAATTCTGTTTTTCCCACCATGCTGATAAAGGTCCCACCACTTCTTGTTTCTGAGTGAACTTCACATGGAAATAATTCAACTTTACACTCATATTTATTTCAAACAGTGTAGAAAGAGATATAATGTGAGGAATAAATATTTTCCAGTTTACTAGGGATAATTTCCAGGGAAGACATTTTTTCTGAAGTTAAAACTTTGTATATACTTTCAACTAATAGAGATCTGAACTAACTGAATAAAATAAAGTAATAAGCAGGGAAGTATTTTAATGAAGTCTAAATTACACCTTGCTAAATAACAATTATTATTGTTGTTTTGTTTCATTTTCAGAAAGATAGAATGATGACACAGCCACAAATATATTACCTGCAAGCTGTATCCTAAGCAAAGTCTAGCCTTTATGCACACTGGATTGATATGTACTGCTGTCAAGAAATCCTTTAGGGCTTGTCTGGTGCCTTTGCTATGACCATATTCCAGGTATGCATTTCCTCGACCAATGTAGGCATCCAAAGAAAAGGGATTGAGTTTAAGAACTTTAGAAAATGATTCCACCGCTTCTTCATATTTCTGAAGTCTGAAATCAATGGCCATTTAAATATTAATGTTTTAACAGTTATTATGATGTTTTGTATATTCAGATGTGCATATTTGAACAAGGAAACATGCAGGAGTGCAGAAAACAGAAGTTAAATATAGTTATAGCCACCTTCTCCCCTATCCTTTGGTTTATTGATTATAATATCATCAAGCTCCTTTTTTCAGCTCTCGTGCATCAGAAGGAGATGAGATCAGTAGCAAAGCTAATCCATAGCCTTCCTGAAAGAGGATACTTCATTAGGCTCCTCCTATGTTAAACTGGAATGTAGCTTGTTTATTATTTGGAAATAACAGTGATTTTTTTTTCTATAAATACAGTTTTTAAAGACTTGTTCTCACTTTGCTTCCTAATGTGCATCCTACAAAATGCATATATTTTTATCATGATAGATAGACAGATAAATATAATTTCAAGATATAATCTCAAATTAACTCAATCAATGAAATATTGCAGAATATTGAAATATTCCGTTTCCCATATTATTGTTTCAATCCAGGCTGTTGGATTTTTTTTCCCCCTTTTTAATTGTGTTTACTGCTTTTTGGCTTTGTACATTCCTCAAAGTCCATTAGAGTTGGGTGGCTATTACAAAAATGAATGAATGAATGAATCTATGAAAGATAATATGATTTTACATGCATTTACTCATTCTATTATATTCTCTACATGTTTTCTGTAAATCAAACCTCTTCAACCTAGTGCTTTCTAGATGAACTTAAAAATCAGAACATGATTAAAACATAAACCAAGCAAACATAAACCAGCCAACAAAATGTACTTTTGTTCTTGTTCTCAGAGAAAGAAGATTCACAATAAATGAGATGGTATTATCATAATCAAGTAGTGAGAAATACAATAATGTAGATATCTTGGGAGAAAAGCGCACCATTCAATTTCTCAAAATATAGTATTAAAAAGTATATAAGAAACATGCTGATTTCCTACTGTACTGCCCTTTATGGAATGCTGTTTCCAAATAACCATTAGAAATTGAACCAAATAGTGAAAATGGGTTAAGAAAACACATTTGGCCTCTGGAGAACAAGGTAGGCCTTTCTCTTTAATTGCCTTTCCCCAGTCTAGTGATTTCCAGATATTTCAATATAACAGTTGTCAATCCCCGACAGCATGGTAACTACTTAGCTAACAGGAGAGATGGAAGTGGTAAGTCAATACAACCAAGAAATAGACTGAATGTTGTCTCATGTTTGAGTTTGCCCTGTCCTGCAGAAATACATTGATGAAAACAGACATTGATGGTTTGACTATTTGAATTATGCCTCGTGGCTTTTAAAAATGCTTATTCTAGTTCAAATTGGGGACTAAGGCATTTGGATGTTGTTGCAAAAATAAAATGCCTTGGCCCACCACCATTTCCTTTCTTTCTCCACATCTGCTACATAGAAATTCTCCATAACACAAGAGAATCAAACACACGTTCCCAAATCTTACTCAGCAATGTTTAAGATTACCTATGATAGCAAAGTCCAATGGAATTCAATAATCCTGCATTTTTTTTTTCAGTCATTGCCACTTCTGCAAAATCCTAGAAACACAGAAAGACACTACATTAAATGTACTGCTTTTCAGAAGTTTAGCCATATTTAACTGTTGCAGCAAAAACAATAACATTGATAGCCTTCTATGTAGAGGTACCTATACTCTAAAAGCCACTGTATAGGTGAGAAAAAAATGTTCATTTCTTCAAGTAATGATTGCTTTCCTTTTTTTTCCTTTTCATTATCTAACTTTTATATTGTGAGTACCCTTAAGATGTAATATGTGAGCTAGAATAATATACCTCACGGACTATAAATCAAGTATAAATCATATACAAAAACATAATAAAAATGGATATCACACATGTGATTTCCTGAGAACTGAACATTTTATAGCCACAATCTTCTCTAGTAAACGCATGCACATACAGGCTCTACAATTTAGCAATATCTAAAAGCCCAAGATATTCTTCCAACCCATTTAATACATTTGGACAAATTAATTTTAAATATTGATGATAATATAATTGCATATTTATTTATTGAAAATTAATTATTTGTTAAGAAATTGCTTTGTTATGGTTAGCTACATTTCGAAATGTATATGAACAGTTTAACCATGTCTGTAGGCAGCATTGTTTAGTTTCTTTTATCACTTTTCCGACTAGAGATTACAAAATATTTTTCAAACAAATCCAATCTACAAAATGTAGAAAAAACATATCTATAATATTAGGGGGGAAATACCTTTAGCGCATATTCATACTGTTTCATTTCTATATAAACTAGAGCACGATTTTTCAGCACTTTCAAGACAATGTCCTTGCTTGTCTCAAGACTAAGAACAGTCTTATAATCGATCAAACTCTAAAACAAATAAACAGAATCCACAAAATTATCTGTGAATTAGTGAAATAAAAAGCATAGATAATTTTTGTTATGAAATCATTTCCTTTTTTTTTAATGCCAGAATCTTGAGCTAAACTGTATTCCTTTCAATGTAATAATAACACTATTTGTGGAAAGGGGGGGGAAATTGTTGGAATAAGCCATAGTTTATAGGAGTCAAACCCTGTCCCTAGATCCACTCTAAAATCTGGGTAAGACAGGAAAGCAGGTTTGGAAGGAGACATCCAGTACCAAAACAATAGCAAATCACTGTTTAAAACAAAACAAACCATACATGTTCATAGTCCTTCAATTGTTGGAACGCAATTGCTCTGTTATAATATGCCAAAATGCACATTTTATCCAATTCTATAGCTTTAGTTAAATCTTCAACAGCATTCTTGTAAGTCTATAAAAATGACATAATAATAATAGCATTATTATTTAATCTACACAAAATAAGGTACCATATTATGGTAGATATTACAGTCTTTGTGAGGGGTGTACACAAAACAGAAACAATGGGGGTGAATAAGAAAAAGGTGATGGGCTTTGCCCTCACTTCTCTTCTTCAGAACTTTGTTTTCCTTTTCTCAGAATCCCCACTGGACTTCAGCTGATGTACAGCAGATCCAAACAGTCCACTTATCCACAGCCCTGATTTTTTCCAGCACCTACCTTTCTCTCCCTTCTCTTGGTGTGTATGCGTGTTTTTCCATCTAACAACAACCATTTTACAATACAGAAGTCATGTTTCATTAAAACTAATTTCAATATTGGTCTATGAATCAAGATTTCACTTTCTAGTGAAAGTGATTAAGATCTCATTACACAGCTACTAAGCAGCTCTAAGGTTTAAATATCCTTCTGTACTCATAAGAGAACAGGGAAGCTTTCACTTATATATCCCAAATTAAGACAGCAGTAGAGTAAGCATATTTACCCTGTTGTAAAATTTCAGTACTCCTCTGTAAAGATATGCTCTCACACTACGTTGCTCAATTTTGAGGGCTTCAGTGCAATTCATTATTGCTTTCGAGTATCTTCCTTTGCTACCATAGTAAGCAGCACGGCTTAAGTAAGCCTTAACAGAAAAAAGAAAAGAAAAAACTCACTGCAGAACACAAAAGGGAGGAAATATTCAGAGACTCCAATGTTGTCTTACATAGGTTTGAAGCTTCAAATATTTATAAATAGGAATAAAACATTCTCTCTTTCTCTCTCTCCCTCTCTCTCCACACTGAAGACTTTCTCTCTCCCCTTAAATTATGTATTACTTCCAATAAGATTGCTAACTGGAATACAAAATACAAAAAAATACAGAATACAAAAATGTCAAAGCTTACATACAATTATCATTTGTATGCTATCTCTTAATCCATAATAAATACATGACAGGCACTTCTCTCTTGTTCTGAAAAATGTGTCTTTGCCCTGAGCCCTAAAAATCCCAGAACAGTCTTCTGATTCTCCATATATCAAGTTTCCGTACTTCTGCTAGTATAAATATGCATATTGGTTAAAAAAATTATCAAGGATAGTTAACAAGGTACATTCCAAGCATATTTTCCATGAATTGTTTTAACCCTTAAGAATATACAGTATGTGCCACTGATCCCAATTTACATGTAAATGCCAATTTTTCAAGCAAGCCAGCAAGCAAATTATCATTAGTTACAAATGGTATATCATGTCACTTGCATACCTAGTTGGGAACAGACAACAATGAATTTTAGGCAAGTGTCCTTGGTTATATGTGCTTATTTCTAATTTGCTTCTTTCTCTGCAAATTATAGAGGGTAGCAATAGCCTGTTCCTAATTTTTGGATAACCTTCCCTGGTGTGCCTTATTTTGCACATCCTATCTGTAATTATAATGGTTATTCTATTGTGTATCCTAAGTAAACTTTTGTGTACTAATGTTTGCTGATTTGGAGTCTTGAATTTCAGATGCATATATAAGGAAGAGAGTTTGCATCATGGATCTGTATGCGTCACTTTGCCTGTTTGGAATCCCCTTTGTGGATATCTTGACTTTTTTTGCCTCCCATTATGGACACCCTGACTGCATTTAAACAAATGTATTTAACATTGGAAGTTTAGCTTTGTATACAAAAAGAGATTAGCCAAATTAATTGATGCCTGCCCCATCCGATAGACCAGGCCAAGAATCAATTCCACAGGAATGACATGACTACTTTTTTTTTTAGTGGCTACAATAAAAAAAATATTGCAAATTTGATTGTGCTCTCCTCCCTTCTTATAACTTTGTGAATTAAGGAATTGTCTATCTAAGCCTCTTCTGCATGTTTTCTACTTGTCCTTGATGTGTTTCATAACATAACCTATCTATCTTGTCAAGACCATCTTACTTTCAACACTTGAGCTGGATTTCCAAAAAAATTAAATGTTCCATTTTTAATCAACTAATAAAAAGCAAGATTGTTTCAGGTGTATTCTTAAGCCTTTATTTTAAAAACCTTATTACTAAGGATTATTTTTAAATCTTCAGAAATACAAAATAATATCTCTTACCTGAAAATGCTTTGGTATAATAGCAAGTGTTTTGTTAAAATCTAAGATGCATTTAGCTTGTTGGAGCTGCATTCTGCAAAGCCCTCGCTGGTAAAATGCATCTGCATATCGTGGATATAGTCTGACAGCAGAACTAAAAGCATCGCAGGCCTAAAATGATTCAACATTAGGTTTAACTGAATCGTGCTTCTACAAAATAAATAAAACACCAAAACTTAAGAGAAAATTTCCTGCATTTTTCATATTTCACTTTTATTTCAGTTGTAGAAAACAAATTGGTATTTTAGTTCCAATCCCAATTTTTTAAAAATTAATCTTCAGAGAAAACTTACAAATACTTTAAAACTTTAAAACTGTGATGTTATATAAAAATAACAATCAATATAATGTAAATATATTACTATAATAGTGTATATTACTGTTTGAGTAATATATATTGAGTTGAGAATATACATAGTCCTCACTTAATGACTATCATAAATGTATGCAAGTTGTGCAACTAAATGGTTAACACATGACCATACTGTGATGGTTGTAAGTTCAAGAACTGGTCATAAAGCTACTTTTCCAACCCTGTTGTAAGTTCAAACAGTCATTAAACAGGCAGTTATTAACTGAGGACTACCCAGAGATATCTAAATAATATAAGTGTGTTGTGTGCATATATACAAAAGAAAAACACTTAAATAAGTGACATTGGTTTTTTGCAAAATACATATATCTGTATATCAAAGTCAAATTAAAGATAAATAGATAAAGAAAGGAATAATAATAATAATAATAATAATAATAATAATAATAATAATAATAATAATAATAATAATAATA